TATATGTACAATTAACACATATGTATAGGTTAAAAGGCAAGCTGAGTCATTTGTGAATCTTTTAAGCCACAGTAGACCCATTTTGGATATGTATTTTTGGAAAAAAATTCAGTTTTTTAAAAATTTTGACCTAGGTCGAAATTTTGGATTTTTCATCATTTCGACCATTTTAATAACTCAAATCGGCAATTTGACCATATATTCTGAAAGCTGACAAAATTCTCTTGAATTTAGACTAGGTTTGATCGAATTTGGTGAAGAATTGTAGAATTTATGTAGGTTTTAGTGTGTTTTTGTGTTGTTCATACCTTGGGTAAACCTAGGTTTTTCTTCCTATACACAAATATATGTACAATTAACACATATGTATAGGTTAAAAGGCAAGCTGAGTCATTTGTGAATCTTTTAAGCCACAGTAGACCCATTTTGGATATGTATTTTTGGAAAAAAATTCAGTTTTTTAAAAATTTTGACCTAGGTCGAAATTTTGGATTTTTCATCATTTCGACCATTTTAATAACTCAAATCGGCAATTTGACCATATATTCTGAAAGCTGACAAAATTCTCTTGAATTTAGACTAGGTTTGATCGAATTTGGTGAAGAATTGTAGAATTTATGTAGGTTTTAGTGTGTTTTTGTGTTGTTCATACCTTGGGTAAACCTAGGTTTTTCTTCCTATACACAAATATATGTACAATTAACACATATGTATAGGTTAAAAGGCAAGCTGAGTCATTTGTGAATCTTTTAAGCCACAGTAGACCCATTTTGGATATGTATTTTTGGAAAAAAATTCAGTTTTTTAAAAATTTTGACCTAGGTCGAAATTTTGGATTTTTCATCATTTCGACCATTTTAATAACTCAAATCGGCAATTTGACCATATATTCTGAAAGCTGACAAAATTCTCTTGAATTTAGACTAGGTTTGATCGAATTTGGTGAAGAATTGTAGAATTTATGTAGGTTTTAGTGTGTTTTTGTGTTGTTCATACCTTGGGTAAACCTAGGTTTTTCTTCCTATACACAAATATATGTACAATTAACACATATGTATAGGTTAAAAGGCAAGCTGAGTCATTTGTGAATCTTTTAAGCCACAGTAGACCCATTTTGGATATGTATTTTTGGAAAAAAATTCAGTTTTTTAAAAATTTTGACCTAGGTCGAAATTTTGGATTTTTCATCATTTCGACCATTTTAATAACTCAAATCGGCAATTTGACCATATATTCTGAAAGCTGACAAAATTCTCTTGAATTTAGACTAGGTTTGATCGAATTTGGTGAAGAATTGTAGAATTTATGTAGGTTTTAGTGTGTTTTTGTGTTGTTCATACCTTGGGTAAACCTAGGTTTTTCTTCCTATACACAAATATATGTACAATTAACACATATGTATAGGTTAAAAGGCAAGCTGAGTCATTTGTGAATCTTTTAAGCCACAGTAGACCCATTTTGGATATGTATTTTTGGAAAAAAATTCAGTTTTTTAAAAATTTTGACCTAGGTCGAAATTTTGGATTTTTCATCATTTCGACCATTTTAATAACTCAAATCGGCAATTTGACCATATATTCTGAAAGCTGACAAAATTCTCTTGAATTTAGACTAGGTTTGATCGAATTTGGTGAAGAAT